CATCCATAAGAAGACATAAAGGCAAAGGCTTAACTGGAATGTCAGAGAAAAGAAACACACAAATAACTTACTAAACAAGATATTAATTCTTAGGAAGACAGTTATTGTCTAAAACCCAGACCTTCAGACATGTCTGTCCATCATTGGAAAACAGCCATGAATTTTTATGTGAATAAAATGTCCTGAATTTTCACAGCAGCTTGTGAGCCTGTGTGATTTTTTTTTTCCCCTGAGAGACAACTTTGGGAAATGATAAGTTCTCCTATAAAAAGAATTTATTAAGATACAATGCTTAGCCTAAAATTTATAAGAAAATATGTTATAGATTTTTTTGTGAAATAACAAGTTATTATTTGAGAAACTTCTCAAAACCTGTGGAAAATAAAACTAATTAAAATGGTATAACTGTATCTGAGAGTGTCTCAGTAAAATACAATATCCCTGTGTTTGCTTTAGAACTATTTAGAACCCATGCTTTTATTACCTAGAAAATTCCACTCATGTTCTGTGAGGCTAGTGTGAAATGCAAAGCAAAAAGAAATACTGTAGGGACAGCATACTTCTAACATGAGTAACATAGCAAAACTACAAAACTGCAGTCACAACCTTAATAAAGAATTAGATGTTTAAGTTTTGCTTTTGATTCATTTTTAGGCTAATGGTGTAGCAGTCATGCAAATTTAATTTATTTTTTTTTCTAATAGTATCATTTAAATAATTCACTAATAGTCCTCTATGGTTAGGACTGAAAAATAGAGGAATTCCCATGTGAGAGTTCAAGGCTTAAAAATGTGTGCTGCTAAGGGTTGTGAGTGATCAGGAAGGGAAAAGGTACATTTCTGCAATCCTTTTGGTAGCATCATAATGTGAGAGAAACTTTCTACTCATGACAGGTCAGGCAAACTTTTTGCTGATCTGGTAAATACATGATTGATTTTGGAATAGAAAAAGATTTTAAATAAACTTATATGCAGACATTTTTGTTTCTTGGTAAAAGTAACAATTTGCCATATGCAAGAATATTGAGGTACAGGGAAGATGTATGTCTTACTATTACATGTGACGTGTTCTGTATTAATATTACATTGTGATGTGTCTGTGTTGTCTCTAAGTGTATTGAAAGGATAATGAAAAAGATGTAAGAGGCCAATAGAAATCCTTCATCCCTTTCTGCATGGAGTGACACAAAAGGTCCTTTTAATCCATTATTGCACATATAGAGTAGGAGAGAATTTGTACAATGCACCACTCAAAATGTTTGATTATTTTTCTTCTTTTTTTTCTATTTATAATTCCATTAGAAAGCTCCATAGGGGAAACCAACAAAAAAACCCCATGCAACAACCTAATAATGATTGTGGTATCATTATTAGGCAAAGTGTATTTATGTTCTGTTTCTATTTTCAGAATTATTTTGCACGAAACTTCTACAACATGAGGATGTTGGCGTTGTTTGTTGCTTTTGCCATCAACTTCATCCTGCTTTTCTATAAGGTAAAATGGTCAACATACTACTTTTCATGTTGAATACTGAAAAACATTCATGTTTTGTAGTCAGTATACTATGGTAAAACTGCCTAGTTTCACAGATTAAATACCTGCTTCATACTGCCACTTCAGAAATCTAACATGGTAAGACCTAAAGTGTTTGTGTGAAGTAATAATAGACTTCCAGTACACAAACAGCTATTTACAAAGTCCTGTGCAGACAGAGGCAGCAGACTGAAAAGCATACCCATGCCTCAGATGCTCCATTTCACAATACAGTGACCTAGCCAAGCCGAGCCTTCACTAGCAACTTAAACTAATACATGTCAGCTGAGATGTTTTCTTGTGCCATTATGCTCCCCTGAGAGGGGGTGTGTACAGTAAGAAGTCACATCATCTTAGGCTGCCTAGAATATAACTGATCTTCTTTGTCAAGACTTTTGGTATCGTTAATACAACTCTAGAGTCTTCAGACTTGAATCAGTTCCTGGCAGAGCCCTGCTGATAAAGACTGCATGTGGGAATGTCAGGAGTTGACTAGGTTTCTTCCGAGAGGGCTATGCTCGTTTTTAAATTTGAGGTGATAAAACTCAGCATGGCCCAAATTTGCTAACATGGGTAGAGTGTGAGGAAAAAAAAAAAAGAAAATGCACACTATCACAGATGGGTGTAACAAGATGAAAGGGCCCCTGTGAGGACACATGAGGATCTCTGTGGACAATTTTATGCAAAAAAATCTTTTCTCACAATTATATTGTCCTTGGTGGTATTGTTTTCAGTTATACTACATAGCTTGTAGTAGTGTAAACCTCCTGTCAAAGGAATACAGCTGCAATATTAAGATTATATGGTTTGAACAGGTCTCCACCTCTGCTGTGGCAGAAGAAAAAGAAGTTCCTGTGGTATCAGCTGGTGAAAGTACCAAGTTGAACAGCCTGGAAAGCGACAACCAGAGGGTCATTGCAGTGCATTATGTCCTGGAAGAAAGCAGTGGCTACATGGAGCCCACACTGCGGATTTTGGCCATCCTACACACAGTCATCTCATTCTTCTGCATCATAGGGTATTATTGTTTGAAAGTAAGAAAAACTGAACATCATTTTTTTCCTCTAGCTCCCAACTTTTTTATCCATTGAGTGGTATAAATTGGAACAAAGTCAGAGCAGTTTTGCTTAAGCAGGTTGAGAGACCATGTAAAGAAACACTGCTCGGTTAGCATAACCTACACAGAAATTGTGTGTTAGTTGATGTGTGAATTGAGGAAGTTACAGGCCAGAGCCTGATTTGCTGGGTTGACACTGGATCATAGGATCAGCATTTGCACTGTTACTGTGTCAGCCAGACAATTACAGCAGTCACCTGTATCAGAAGCTGCTCGTGGCTGTCAAAGACAAGCTGTGAACGCACCTGGCCAGAGGAAGCTATATGACAGTGTCTGCATTACTAGTCTGTCAGCTGGGTCTTTTGATAAGCATGCTGCATTTTGGACTGCTGCTACTGCATATTGTAACTATAGATAATGCCTACTTTTCATACACACTCTGGTGGTAGTGTTTTGGCAGGAACTTAAGCATCTTTTAAAGGAATAAAGATGCCACCTTCATTGGCAAAATGCTGCCTCTGGTTTAGGAAGACCAAATGCCATAAATCGCTGGAGCTGGGACAAGTATATCTGGGATGTACTTCCCCCATTTTTATGCTCTTCCTGAGGCAAAAACTATAGGTCAAAGTGCAAGATAGTACTAAATTAAATGGACCTTTGCCTATGACCCAGTATGGCAGCTCATTTGTCCTTACAATTACAATTTCTTTATTAAGCTTTTATGTGGTCCTTGATATTTTTCTTTTCCTCTTTTAATGGATAATACCTTAAAAAGGCATGATCTGCAGTTGTAGTTGAGACAAATGGGCATCATACTACTGCATTAAGTGGTTGATTTTCATATCTACCTTACATGTCTCTGCAGGTCAATAAATACTAAAACACATTTTCTTGTTTCACTGGTTGGCATGCAGCATGAAAGCTTAGATTTCTGTTTTTTCAGGTGTCCTCCCACTTTTCTGCTACATTTATTCACTGACTAGAAGGGAAGACATTACTATCATTATTTGCTGTAATGAATTGCTTTCTTTCCAATTCTGAAACCCTGAATAAAAGACCAAATATGGTGTCAGTCTCTGGGTGGCTGAATTTTGGGGACCTGTAAAATAATTCCAGGGAAGAGTAGTGTTTATTTTTTGTTGGTAACAGATTTCTAAGAAAAAATCCACTCCACTGGGATCACTAGTTACATCTGCCTTCTTGGAATATACTTTTATTCAAAAGTATATTATATATATTATATATATTACATTATACTGTATAACATCCAGCTGATGAGAGTGAGTTGTAGGTAAAGCCTTACTGCTCAGGTGTCTCAGCTGCTGGCAAAGAACTACAGAGTGCAAATCAAGTATATGGAATATGAATGTGATTTAAGGATTTTTTTTTTTCTTTTTACTGCTTCCAGTCTTTCTTTGCTCTCTGCTGTGAAACCACTTTGCTTCCCACTGTGAAACCTTAATAGTTCTTTAACAAATGAAAGGCAACCTCTAACAACTCTGGGTATCAAAAGGCAATCCAAAAGTGTAATCCCAAATTAATATTTTGGAACTAGAGTTTCTAAGCATTTAAAAAGTATTTTTATTTTAGCTCTCTCTCACTTGACTATCTCTAATAGGTCCATAGCACTGAAGAACTTTTTTTAATTTGAAGGATACTTTTTCAGGGGTTTTCGCCATCTTTTTACAACTGTGTGGTACACTGTAGTTATATGATTCTAAATGACCTGGTCCTTGTGCATCTATACCTTTGCAGTGTTCTGGGCAATTGTCAAGTCTTTTAATTTTTTTAAATAGTATTTTTGCTTTGTTCAGTTATTATACTTAATTTTGCATAACAACCATCTTTCTTAAAAATTTGCAGATATGTTAGTGCATTTTAAATAATTCTTGATATTTTTTCAACTGCAGGTTCCACTGGTTATTTTTAAGAGAGAAAAGGAAGTGGCAAGAAAACTGGAATTTGATGGGCTGTATATAACTGAACAGCCATCAGAAGATGATATTAAAGGACAGTGGGATAGACTTGTAATCAACACACAGTGAGTTTTTATCTACTCTGTCTCTTTACAACTTTGCAAGGAATTCTTCTTCAGTCTCCACAATTTAGTTGATCATGCAGCTTGTCTGGAATAAACAGTTGTGAGGGGGATAGAAAATATTTCAGGCACCTGTTATGCTAATGTTTAGTATTACTTTTTAATCTTATTCATTCCCAAGTTTTTCTTTAAAATTATTTCTGTTCTATAAAAGAAAAAAATTGTGATTAATTGTTTTTGGCAAGCACAGTGATGATTGTGAATTGCTGTCAGTTTGAGAGTGCTTTGCATCCTTTTAGAGTCTCTTGAAGGCTCTCCTTTTGGAAGACATTTAAAGTCCCGACTCTGCCTGGTGGGACTGTATGATCCAACTGCTTTAGAACTCTGTCTGCAGGCATTGGCTCTGCCACTCCTATCCCAGCCACATTAACATGGTGAATGCCATTTGGCAACTTTCATCCCAGTGACTTCACAAATGACTAGCTGGCGATAGCAACAACGAAGAGCCTCTTAGAAACAAAATCAGTATGTATTTTTTATGACGTACGTCTTAGTAACTACTCCATCATCTTCTCATGATTGTCTAAAATGTAATTTGTTTATCTGTGTTTTTCAGGTCTTTTCCAAACAATTATTGGGACAAATTTGTGAAAAGAAAGGTAAGGTTTCATTTGCAGAAAAGTTTCTTGTGAAACGTGTTAAATTTTTTAAGAAAGAGATGGGGGATAGTTTAAATTCACTGAAAATAATTTTTAGCTGTAACTCTCTGTTCAAGCTCTTTGGATTCCTGTGTATTATAGTTTCATTGCATTATTAACTAACAAAAATAAGGTCATAAAATTATGCAATGGAGCTAGTTAATAAGTGAGGACATTTCTGTGACTATTTCAATGTGAAATACTTTCCCTTAACAGAAAAAAAAAAATCCAAGATTCCCAATCAAGATGTTCAGGTTGTTTAAGAAAACCCTTTTAAACAGAATAAATATGTATCTTTTCTTTTTTTAAAAAGGAATAACTAGTAAGGTTCAAATACTTTCTTTGAGAAATCTTATTTTAATCAGAGCTTTTCATGTAGCTAGGATATTCAAAATGTCTCTTTCCTGTGTGACCTCATAGTGTATTTTTTTCTGTCAGTGATGATATTGATTTAGATATTTTCCTTCTGCTGGGTTCCCTTTCTCTTCCTGTTTTCATTAAATGAGAAGGAAAATCTTATCTTTGACACCCACCTCTTGCCTCTATTGAATTGGTTGCAAATGAGCAGAAAAAAAAATATTGCTAACTTTCATGATAGATGGAAACAAACAGATGAAAAAGATCATGCTAAGCCTCTTGTCTTCAGAAACCAGGCTAAAAAACAGCTGGTCTGCCCAACTGATTCTCTTGAATATTCCTCCTAACTTTAGGTCATGGATAAATATGGTGAGTTCTATGGCCGTGACAGGATCAGTGAGTTACTGGGAATGGACAAAGCTGCTCTCGATTTCAGTGATGCTCGAGAAAAGAAGAAACCAAAGAAGGATAGCTCCTTATCTGCTGTGTAAGCATTTGCTTCTGGTTTGTTTGTGTGATTGGGAGGTTTTTTTGTTTGTTTGGGTGTGTGTGTGGGGGGGTTGTTTCAGGGTTTTTTGTAAGTTAAAAAATCAAGCATTCAAGGTTTGTCAGTCAGCTTTGAATTATCGTGTTGCTCTTTCCTGTATAGCCATATACAATAAATCGGTTCTTAAGTTGAATGATACAGTGAATTTATTTCATTATAGACAACATATATGCAGGACTCCACTGGTTTTTTGTGCATGAAGATTCAGTTTAGTGTACAGCTGCTTGAATGTATCACATTTCCAGTTTTGATAGCATCATTACAACTGGGCTGGAAACTCCTTTTCGTAGTTCTCTCAGTCAGCTCAGCTGGAAAGAATGGGCAAAATCAGCATTGTGTCTTCTGGTTATAAAGAAATGATGGAACAAATCGAAGTGATAGCGACCAGTAAATAGTAGGAAGTAAATGTAAATGTAGGAAGTTGGATGATGAGTCTTCACATCTTTTTGTAATTTGTTTTCCCTAAAATGTGTATTTGCTTATCGTCTGAGAGACAGACCTGAAAAAAAGCCCCTAGACATTCAGAGTAATTGCATTAATTTTCTTTCTTAGGGAACTGACATCCTCAGCTTTTTTAAAGCTCTGCAAAAATGATACTCAACTATATTAAATAATATATTTAAACAGATGGACTTTTAATGCTACAAAGAGTCTAATTTAAGGGTTTATTTATAGATTTCTTTAAAAGCAATATTTTATTTGCAAGGATTTGCAAGGATTATATGGGGTAGACAGTGGGACCACTAGTAGATTAGAACTGCATTGAAGCAAGGGCTGATTTTGTAAAGATTAATCTTTAATAACCATCTTTTGTAAAGATGGATAAATAAACCTGGAGTCCATCTAAACAATCAGGTGCAGTGATAAGGCCCAAGGACTCTCTGGCATTGCAATACTAAATAAAATTTATTGCTGTGGCAGAAGTACTTTCCAGAATATTTTCTTACCTGCTGTTTTGCTGCTGGATTATAGTAGGACCCATACTTGAATTTAGAAAAAAATCTTTGATTTTTGTTACTCTTATTATTGGTATAAAAAGAAAATGAAACTACTTTCCCTTCCCTGTGTGCTCATGACTCATGTTTGGGAGGAAATTTGAAATAATGTTTCTGTGAATACTCTTGAAAAAGGAGACCAGAATGAAGCAGTTGGAGAAAGCTGATGAAATACTTAAGTTCAGAATCAGGCCAGAAGGATGCCAGTTTTTTGTTAATCTCTAACATCTACTTCATGTTATACATGTTAAAAAAAAAATTAGAATCTGATCCAACTTTAATGTTCTCCTTGAAGAAATTATTTCTTACTTAGAACAGATGAATATGCTGTGGGAAAATAAACTATGACAGAAATTTAGAGAACCATTCTCATAAAATTCATATGCTTCAGGAAGATACATGTATCCACTTTTTACCAGTTTCCAAAACGAACACTAAATGAAGCTACTAAAGCTTAGGCATATTCCAGATTCAACATTTTAAATAGATTTACAGTGCAATGAAGAGAGGTGGGGAAAGTACTGAGTTGAACCATTACTGCACCGCTTTGAGGCAAAAAATGGAGAATGGTATAACCTGGTGCAGATCACAGCTCCAGTGCCTCTGCTTCTGCATGTGCCAGCAGGAGATGGCCCAGACTGATGCCAGATCAGATACCTACATCTCTCTCAACACAGAAGAGAAATGCAACCTTTAGCATTTCCATGCCCAGTACAAACAAACCACGTTTTTCTTCTGTCTCCTTGACCCCTAGCTCCTACTGTTTCTTCCCCTTTCCTGTGGGCAAATAACCTGGGATTCCCTTCCATCTGTCTTTCTGCAAGGGACTTGGAGCACTCTAGTTGCAAGTGACCATGTTCCTTCAGAAGCTCCTGCCCGTCCGACTGTCACACTGCACAAAACCAATCCTCAGTGTACTGTTATATTTTAACTCTGGAAGAGCCATTCAGCTTATAGATGCACTCTTGGGTATTTTTTAAGTATAACTTACAGGTATTTAAATGTCTAAATAATTATTTAAATAGTATTATGTAAATATATATTAATTAATTAATATATAGTATTATTTAAATATAACCAACTAAGGAGGATGATGCAGTTGGAGCTTTACTGTAAATTAGACAGTAAAAACAGTTAAAATTTGTATACTGTGATTGAGACGGTGCACTGTTTTTCCATTGAATAAGTTTCCCTTCTGGGGTGGATGGGGTGTATTTGAGAGAATGAATCAAAAGACCTGAAGATGAAAGTTATTGATCAGAAGTGTCATAGTGAGGATTACCTCTCACTCCCTTTACTTTCCTAACTGCTCTTGGTTCTGTGGTCATTCGTCTAGTCAGAATCAATAGAAGAGGCAGCTGAGGCTCAAGCATCTGCAGCAATCAAGGCTTCTGTTGAATGCTCACATTGCAGAAGAATTCTACCCCCTTTCAAGAAGAGAAAAATGTTGATAATTTTTTCCTGGAAGATGTGAGGTTTCCGTAGTTTGACAAGAAGATAAACCATGTGATGTATACAAAGAATGAGTGCAATTTGCCTCATAATGTGAGAGAGGTTAAAAGGTCTTATTGCCTTGCCACAAGAACCAATAACCTAGGTTTTCAAAAGATTCTGGAGCAGGTGACCCCCTTGTTAGTAATGTAGCATCTTGGAGAAAAGTATTGTCTCTGATAAACTACTAGACAGCCTACTTCTTGCTCATAACGGCTGGTGAAAAAGTAAGAGATTTTATTTGAGGTAGTTTCTACACCTGAATTCCCAAGATATGATGTCACCACAGGATTTACAAACCTAACCAGTTGACCAATTAATAAATAACGAAGGTTTCTAATTTGCTGGGGTGCTTTCTATTGTACAAATAGTAATATTAACAGGTCTTCCTAAATACCTACATTGAAACATTAACTGTTAAGAATGATCGTATTTTCACTAATGATTTTTTTATAGCTTTAGAAAGATGGGTCATCTTTCTGAACTGTTTTCCCTGCTAGATTAGAGCCAACTAATTAAAACTGACTCTTCCCAGTCTTAATTTGTCACTTTGGAAAAAGTTTAAATGCTGCTGCAAGGCTATTTTTCAGTTTGAAGTTAAAGTAGTAATAGTGGTTCCTCAGCTGTAGCTGCTCTGAACAGTTCTGATGTACAAACACTAAAATGATTCAGGCTGAAAAGTTCAGAATTTTCTGATTCCAGTTAACGTTAATGTCATTTGATTGCCCGAATTTTTTTCTTTTTAAAAGGGAAGGATAACTTTTGAAAACCTACTATGTTATATTTGGAACAGCTGAATGCAGTAGGCCTTAGGAAAGAAGCTGTAAAACGTCTGGGTGTTATTGAAGGTGATGAATACTTGTGCAGGTTGCAGCCAAAAAATACAAGCAATTTCTCAGAATTTTCCTATTGTTTATTCACAGTGTGCATTCTCACACTGTGCCATCATTCATCCTTGCTAAACTCAGCTACTGAAACTACAGTACTACAGTGTATGACAACCTGTTCAATGGTGCAGAAAGAAGCCAAATAAAAATTCTTTCAGACTAGGAAATTCATCCAATATAATACTAACTAATGATATTCCAAGGGAAACTTGAAACCATGCTGTTACTTTCTGATTCACAGCTGAAGAGCTTAATTTTTACATGACTTCATGAGCAGAAATAAACAGGAGATTGCAGTATTATGCATGTTGTTATTGCTTTGCTATCCATATCAGAATTACTTTTAAAAATGAAGATATGGAAAGATAACAGTTCCATTTTCCATATAGGTCAATATTCATGCTATTTTTAGGAGCTCTATAGCTCTTGCTGTTTGTGAAATATAAATCCATCAAATTAAATTGATTGGAGACGAGTCCCCCTGGTGCTGGGTTTTTTTTTTGCCATTTCATGAGAGAGTATCCTGCTTATCCATAAGCAGTCCTGTCCTTGGTGTTTTCTACAGAAGAGAAATATAGTTATGAGTAGGTAGAATGTGATAACAAGAATGTTTGACACTAGAAGTGGGTCATATTGGATCAGAATAAACTAAAAAAATTAACTTGCTGCAATAATAAGAAATAAATCTCAAGAGGTTTTTGTTCATTTTACCACCTGAATAAGTTATTGAACAATATTTGAATGAGAAACTGTTCTTAACATTTTTTACTTTTTTTTCCTTCTAGGAGAAACTTTTCTATAAATTTTGATTTCTTTAATAACTCAAATTTGGGGCTAGAAAATTTGCTTTTAACTTGGGGTTGATGAAAATTGTATCAGCAACTCTTAGCTGTGCTAGACTGTTGGTGGAGAAACCATTTGAATGTTCAGGAAGCATTCCTACCTCTGGTGAAATGGCAGCATGCTAGATTTATCTTTCTGTGGTATCTAGAGCACAGCACAGTTTGGGGACTAGCTTGTTTCTAAGAATTTTTTTCAAGATAGGAATGTGGATTTTATTACGGATGCATCTTTCTATCCTTGTAAACTTGAAAGCCTGTTAGAAAAAAACTTGCAGCTTTTATTTCTCTAGTATATGTCGCTTTTTTGTTATACAAATATTATCCCTGCAGTTCTAATCAGACAGTGAATATCACCCAGTGACTATGGCCTGAGTCACCATGGAAGAAACTTGGGTGAAATCTTTGGCTTTAGTTTCTACAGAGTTGCTGTCTACCATGAAGGAAATAATGAAGCAAAACCAGTTGCTGACCATGCCATCAATGTAATTGTGTAAATGTAAACTGTGATCAACACTCACTCTTTAAAAAAGTTTTGTGCCACCTTATGAGAAGTTTCAGCTTTGTTAACCTAGTAATCGGTTGCCTTTGCGTAGGTTAAAAAAAACAACAAATGAAATGGTAAAAAAGGAAATTAAAGTCCATTGAATCTTGTTCAGCCAGGTAATAGACTCTAGAATTCACCATTAGTGAATTATGTGCTTATGATATTTTTGTTTTTACTTTACTTTAATAATACAATTGTTCTCTTTTACCTGCTCAGAGCTACATGTATAATTCCCTGTGAATAAAGGGTAAAAAACCTGACCCTAAATGAGTTACTGTGTCATCTAGATGTTTTCTGCATAGAAGTAAAATGTATGTATGAAAGACCTGCTGTGTGTAAATTTGAGAGCAAGGGTCAAACCTTTCATAAATCTACATTTCTTCTGCTTTTCCCTTTTTGTTCAAGTAGACTAATACACTTCAGAAGGAACAATGAATTCTTAATTAAAATAGGCTGTAGACAGTAGTCTATGTAGTGTTTATACACAGGAGGTTCAACGTGAGTCTTTTGCCTTCTAGTTTTGTAAAAAATGGTGTTAATTTTTGTTTGTATTAAAGAGTAAATACTGTTACATATAACACAGGTAGGAGTTTGGTATTTTGATGGCAAAGTATTCCTTGGGAGTGTAATATTCAAATAAAACTATAACTTTTGTGTGGTTAGTGGCTCTGGATATACTGGTGAGAATTTTGGAAATCGGACCCTGATAGATCAGAGTTTAACTCTTAGTATTCTAGCTAAGGCCTCAGGTAATTCCACATTAAACACCTGTCACAGAAGTAGTATGTACTTTTATATATATCAGGTGTATGACATCTGCCAGCATTATTATTATATAGAAATGCCAACATTTCTACTTGTTTAGTGAACAGCTCTTCTCTTTTAGGAACACTGAATGCACTCACATTTTAAGAATGAAAGTAGGACAGATGAACTTTTTCAAGCTATTGTTGTTCATATTGGTTCCTGAATTGTGATCCAAGTTCAGAATTGGTTTTGTGTCAATATGATACAGATGCTCCAAACCTTTCCAAAAAGAAAAAGTCAAAAACTAGAGGGATAAGATACAGTTACAAATAAATATGGTATACATCTTATTTGGTAAGTTAGTTGGAGCACTTCTCCATAGAGGAGGGAAAAAAAAAAAATGCTTCAAGCAAACTAAGGAGTTTAAGTCTAGTGCAAAAAAATGTAGCCTAAAGTCAAGACATTTATTTGTGTTGCTAGAGTAAGAGGAGAATTAATATCTAAAGGTATTAATTAAAGAAATATGAGGGACACTTTTGGAGAGAATATTTTACAATATCAGTCTGTGCTACATAAAAGTTTGGTGAAGAGAGGAGTACAGTAGAAGGGGCTAACCTAACAAAGCAACAAAAACCGTGGAAGAAACTGGAAGCCCAGAACTGAACACAGCACTCCAGATGTGGCCTTACCAGTGCTGAGTTAGAGGGGAAGGATCACCTCTCTCGACCTGATGGCAACACTTCTCCTCATGGAGCACAGGGTACCATTAGCCTTCTTTGCACTGAGGGTACATCACTGGCTTATGCTCAACTTGCAGTTCACCAAGAACCCCAGGTCCATTTCTGAAAAAGCTTTTAATATAAATTTCTCTTTCATTCAAATTTAGCTATGATATCAGTAGGAAAAACAAAGGATACAAGCTCTGAGATTCATTTCTCCTCACTTTGTCTGTCTTAAATGTTATCTAATTGTGTCACCTAAGGTATGCTATCATAACTAATGGTAAAGAATTGGCATTTTGAGGTGAAAATTCTCTGGCCTTTTTTGACAGCTTAGGTGGATCTCATTTAAAAAAAAAAAAAAATCTTTTTTTTCTCCATGGATTATAAAGACCATTCATTTCACTTGTGTGTATAACATAACATTGTAGATATTCATCAGCATTATGTCTGATGGATCCAAACTAGTATTTATTAATTTGTTTTTCTGCTTTTTTGGGGGGAAGCATGTCCATTCTAGACAAAAAGCGTGAATTAGAAGAAAATTCTGATGCATTTCAGCTTTTCGGAGAAATAGATCAGCTGATATCCTCTGTGTTTATGTGACAATACACTTCCTTGTTGCAAGTTTTCCTACTGTGTTTTGTTATAAAATGCAATTTATTTATTTATTTTTACAGGCTAAATTCCATTGATGTGAAGTATCAGATGTGGAAATTAGGAGTTGTTTTCACTGATAATGTAAGTTTATCAGTGTATGTATATATACACACATATGTATATGTGTATACATTCACTTTCTAAAAACCACTTGTAAACCCACAGTGCTTCAAAAGGGGGTATGAAACACTCTGGATCATATTTAATTTACTACATAGATTAAGTAAATCTTGGAAACTTAAAAAGACATTGCTGAAATCTTTTCCCAGTTACATAGGTCTGTAGAACCTCAGCCAATTCCCACCCCACTTCTGATATGCTTTATTCAGGACCAATAAGCAAGCACTGCTCTGTAGAATTAGAAAACTGACTATATCAATTTAATTGCCATTTTTCATATTGTTTGTAAAGTTTATGAACACTTGAATATTACTGAAGCACAGTCAGATTGGTATAGTTAATGTACATGGAATTGCTAAAATTTGTATCACTGAAACTGGTAGTAGGATGTGACACAGGATGAGGCTGATGATTTTAATCATTTGAAAAAATGAGTTTTTAAAAACAAAAAAAAAAGGAATGGTAACAAGACTGACTGTTAAAATACTTTGCCCTTTACGAAGTCACTCATCATATGATTATTAAGTCTTATGATTATTGCTTACCTAACTCAGCTTATTTTACTGGTGGGAAAAATGGTTGGGGAACAAATGATTTTGGAACTAGGACTGCCAGAAAATGGAAGTGTAATCTGACTTTAGTCAGGAAGAGTGAAGCAGTAAGTCTCCAGGTCTACAAGCAGCATGATCTGTAAAGAGTTAGAATTTGTTCAGGATTAGATTTTTTTTTCTAAGGCAGGTACTGTAATTCTTTTTATAAATATGTACTTGTCTTTAAGTCCAATGAAAACTAAATGATAGACGAAAAGGTGAAATTAGCATTTGTAGTAAAGATTAGTAAACTAGTTAAATAAAACAACTTTTAAAGTAGTAGTTTTAGTAATTTTAGTAATTTTAGTAGTTTTAGTAATTTGAATTTGTAAAATTCCTTTTGTTGCTTGCAGAGTCCTTTCATTTTCATTAACCACCTTAGGGCTTTAATATTTTAATGTAATTATTTAGAAAATTCATTAAAAAAAATTTGAATCAGAAGACATAGAAAGATTAAAAAATAATAAGGGTTTAGCAATTTCAAAATTAGTTTTTTGCAAATTCAAATTTAGAATGTCAATTTTCACCATATTTTGTGAACTCTGTATTTGCTGATTCAATATTTTTGCACAAAGAGAAAATTCTGCAAGACTTCTACAAATTCTATGTAAAAAAAAGTTTTCTATGTAAAGAAAGGCACATTCAAGCAATTTCTACCTTTTCTTAGTGTTTTGAATTAAGTTAAAGATAATAGCTGTGATTTTTATTTTGTGATGTACTTTTTTTGTCTGTTAGTCTTTCCTTTACCTAGCGTGGTACATGACCATGTCAGTCCTTGGCCATTACAACAATTTTTTCTTTGCTGCTCATCTCCTTGACATTGCAATGGGATTCAAGACATTACGAACTATCCTGTCGTCAGTGACCCACAATGGCAAGCAGGTATAAACCGGCATCTCTTTTCAGCTTTTTTACTTCAGGAGTACACAGAAAATGTCTCTTTATGACTTAATTCAGCTGCTCTGCAAGCTGAACAAAATTGTTATTTCATCGTGAAGTTTAGAACTTGACCCAGTGTGGAAACCAGCCAATGGGTTTTATAAGCATAAGAAAATGAGATTAGGATGTATGACAGTCTCTAGCTGCCATGAGCAACTGTGTTCAAAAGTTGCTGTTTAAAATTTTTTTCAAGATTCATCTAAAGAAAGGTCCAGTTGAGACCCACTTACTCTTTCTGTTAGAGGACTGTTTGAGAAACTCAGCTCTTTGAGAATAAGAAATCTTTTCTTAAAGAAGCTATGAAATATGAAAATACATTTCTGATTTAAGTAAAGAAAATAACTAAGGCTTTTCACCTACTGAAATCTGGTTTAGGAATGGCATTTAATGTAACCTGACATTGTTCCTCAAGTCTGATGGCCTTCCTACTTCAAAGGACCTTTGTAAACAATTTTTAGTGATAAAAAAGCCATCATTGATCTGCTTAGAAGATCTTCCAGCAGGACAGCTAATATAATTCTTATTCAAGTGGGCTAAGAATGGTAATATGAAGGTCTTCTCTGTTACATATACTTACGTGCTGTTGTAGTACGATGGAATCATTCAATTCTAACTTTATACAATGTAGATGTTTTAGCAATCTGGTGGCAAGTGCCATTTGAAATTTATCAGTAGCAAGTTATTTTTCAGGGGTTTTGTTTTTATTCTCTTGTGTTTTAAGCAAGTTTGATAGTAAAGAAACATAAAATCATTAGCAATGATTTTTTTATAAATGCAAAGGAGGATTGACTCAATTTAATTCTGCCTTCAAATGCACTGTCCTTGTCAAAATTTTTAAAGAACTAATACATGTTTAAATGGACAGAGTTTATATTTCAAAATAGCTAGTGAAGCACATGACATATAGAAGACTTTTAAGTGTGAAGTCACCTTGACAAGCTTATTTGTTTTAATTTATGTGGCAAACAAGTTTCATTTGTGGAACAAAAATTGTGTCTTGAAAAGTTACAGAAATCAACATACTGCACTCTTTGCCCTTTGAAGAATAGAATTTCTTAAATACGTCACTCTGATTACTTAAAAGAACAAAAACAGTAAAAAAAAAAAAGAAATCAGCCTGGACCTAAAAAAAGTGAAATGTTCTATGTTTTAAAAATAGTCCTGAAATTTTAGCAAATTATTTATGAAGTAAAGGGGGCATTATTTATGATAAAGAACTTTTTAGGTCTTGCAGCTATGCAAGTGAAATATCAATGAGCAGGATATTGCAGTTCACTTCCAGCTACTTTCCAAAAAGCTCAAGGCAAAATTTTAATGATGCTGCAGTTGAGTAGCAGGGTATTTGTTGCTGCTTCTCTGAGTTAGATGTTAGATTAGGAAGAGGGTTTTTTAGACATGATTCCATAGAAGTAAACAAAATTGTTTCAGTATTAAATGAGTAGAAATACTATGTTGCAGTTATATAATAGGTGATATTAAATAGTACTATTACTACTAGGTAGTAAACTTTTGTCTAATTGAGTGGGTTTTATATGATTCTAATGTATTGTGTATGTATCCACTAGATTTTGCAAGATTTGTCTTTGTAATTGTGTTTCCAAAGCATAGTTTTGCTTCAAAATAAAACAGGTGAAATGCACAATCTTTCATCAAAATATGCAGATATATTACCAAATATTACAAAGATAGGCAAAGAGACAGAGAAAAAGAAAGTTTTCCTTCTGCTAGTACATATAGATTATTTTTACTTCTCTTCTTGCAAAGAAAATTGTATAGCATAATTCCATGGTGGTGTTATATCCACTCTATAATTTTGTCTTCCAGCTTGTCCTAACAGTAGGGTTACTGGCAGTAGTAGTGTACTTGTATACAGTAGTGGCATTCAATTTTTTCCGCAAGTTCTACAACAAGAGTGAAGATGGTGATATGCCGGACATGAAATGTGATGATATGCTAACAGTAAGTCTTATTTTGCTTTCTGGATTTTTTTTCAAAACTGTTATATTTTCATCCTGAGCTTTTTGCAATTCCTATTCATACAGTCATCATACATCATGCAATTCCTATTCATACATCACTAGCCAGCAACAGAAAAGACTGTAATTGAAGGTAAATGAACATAGCTATAAACTAACAGAAGAAATGTGATGGTATTTTCTGGTATAGTTTCTCAAAAACTGAAAAAGAACTACAATCTGACCTGCATCAGTTAAAGGGCAGTACTTCTGAATCTTGAGGTTCTATAGGCCATTCAGGAGGAGGGTCAGTTTATAGGCAAGGACTTTCGTGAGTAATTTAGGTACTGAAATGCTTGTTGAAGCTTGGAAATCCATCCGTTTCCCTCAGCATGAATTGCCATTGTTAGCTTCAATTGGCAATTCTGTAACTGAAATCTCTCCCATGCACTGAAATTGATTTTGTACTTACAGAGGCAGTGCCAGACTTTGCAATTGTGGATGGCAGGTAGAGCTTAAATAACAAAGAATTTCTAAGATGCACTGCAGTTAATAGCCTTCTAAAAGCAATCAAGTATAACAAAGTTAACTATATTTCAGTATGTTATGAAATGTGAATCACTTCCAGGGAATTGACACCATTAGAAAGATCAATAATTAGATAAACTGTGGAAGCAGACTAGTATATCTGTATTTTTTTCCAGTTTGGGACATCAGTACAAGACATAGATAAACTGGAGCATAAATAAGTGGAGGGCCACTAAATTGTCAGATGCTGAAGCACTTGCCCTCTGAGGAGAGGCTGAGGGAATTGGGCTTGTTTGGCCTGGAGAAGAGAAAGCTTTGGGGTGGAGGGGAGTGGAAGAGCAGCTCCCCAGTGCCTGCAGGGAGGTTACTGGGACGACAAAACCAGGCTCTTTACAGCAGTGCATGGTAGAAGGCCATGGACATAAAGTGGAAAAATGTTTCTGACTGAGGAGAGCCAAGCACTGGATTGGGTTGCTCGGAGAGGTTGTGCCGTCTCCATCCTTAGGAAGTTGTGAAGATGTGAGTGGATAAAGCCCAGAGCTACTTTGAGCTTATAGTGGACCCTGTTTGGAGCAGGATTTGGATCAGAGACCATCCAGAGTCCCTTCTGACCTCACCTGCTCTGGAATTCTCTGAAAACACAGTTACAAAAAGGCTATAATGTTGGACAGGAATGAGTTCGAATAACATGTGATACACTCTAAAATCAGGGTTGTCTTTTGTAAAAGCAGTAAGACTTGCAATGTGTGTGATGTTAAAAAAAAAAAGAAAAACAGAAGTACAGAGAATAGATTTTTATTTTTAGAAATAGCAAAATAAATTTTAAAAATGTTTCAATAACTTGCACTACATTCACTCATTAATGATTGCCTTTCAATGGTGAAATGACAAGTCTAAAAATTGTTACATGTTTCAGCCATTGTTCACTCATGATTGTATGTTACTGTACATTGTACTGACATTGGTCTTACATAAGGGATTTGGGGGCTAAGTGAGGCATAGAAACAAAAGAATGGATTTTTTGTATGGTTAGGTTTTAGGAGTCTTTTTGATAGAGAACGAGAAACCTGGACCTGTAGTTTGCAAAGCTACTTAAAGTAAAAGAACCAATCCCCTGCTCCAGACCTCTGAGAGTGATGTTATAATTTTCTATTAAATTATAGGATGATAAACTGGAAATTTTGCGTTGTCAGCATCCCACATAGCTATAATATTATACCACTTTTAAAATCATAGTTTCACGGTATTAGTCTCAGAATTTTTCCATCATTAGCCTGTGCTCTGTACAAACATTGTCAAAGGTTTTTTGGTTTGGTTTGTTTTTAATTTTCATTTGAAACACCAAAGGTGGGATAAGTAAGTCATTCACCTTTGAGCTAGGAAAATGAAAAAGGAGATGGCTGTGGTGGCAATGGTATTTCCTATTTGCACATTAGTGAAACAATTGTGCATGAATAATGGTATGCTGATGGGCTAGAGGTAGTTGAACTGCTATATAATGACGGCACATGAAATAATGCAGCTTCAGCTGCACAGCAGCATCTTGCCTTCTTCAGAAATACACATAACCTCAAAGCAGAGAAAAAGATGACTTGACATAGCATAATTCCTAGACCATAGACCAGTTCTGCCAATTACTGAAAATGCAGCAATGCGTATTTTTACTTTTGGCTGCAGACAAACTTTGTATCCATTTGTTTTGTGTTTTCTAGTGCTACATGTTTCACATGTATGTTGGAGTACGTGCAGGTGGAGGCATTGGTGATGAAATAGAGGATCCGGCAGGAGATGAATATGAAATCTATCGTATTATCTTTGACATAACTTTCTTCTTTTTTGTGATTGTCATCCTGCTTGCAATTATTCAAGGTATGTATTTGTAAACAATGGTGAGACTGAAAGAGTTACTTAGCAGTACAAAGATCTTAGTGCTATGGTAATCACACACCTAAGATTCAACTAGGGCACCAGGCCAGATAATGAAGCACAGATTTATATAGGAAATCACACACAGCTGGCTTTTCTCCATACACTGTTCTTCCTAGTCTCTGTAAAATCAAGATCTTTGCTGTGAGAAGAGTGCTGTCACTAGAGTTTCTATGTTCTCATTGCCCTTTCTAAAAGCCTCCTGTAAATGATAAGCAAAGGAAGTGATGAGAAAGCGATTAACCTTAAAGTTGTCTTTCAGCATAAATGCACCTTTGTGAGCCTATGTGAACAAAATCAGTAACGTGTGCTGTCAGTATTCCCCTTCCCAGCATCTAAAGTTCTTGACTGTCTGGCAAATCTTCAGATTGGTCATAGTGATGTGAAAATTGGAATAGAGCTTTAAGAAGTTTAATATTTTCTTGCATAAAATCCTCTGTTTGGTGTGATGCGTACTTACCTGAACAATGTCAAAGAGTAAAGAAAGGTGCTTGATATGAAACAGCTTTAGTATGTCCTGGTTAATGACAATTGAAAGTCAGCTGCCATCAGGTTAGCTTCTGAATTTGAGTGAAACTACTTGATGATAGTGTGGCTCCCTGTTGTCATCTGATACTGATACTGAATTTTGGAAGTCAGGGTTTTCTATTATGTTTGTATTGATGATGCTTAATGTTATTATCTAAAGTACTTAAAAGCCCCATCTGTTTACATGTTATACCTTCAAAAGATTGTCACAAATGCCGAGATCATCATCTTTTATTGAAGTCTGCAGAAATTAACGGAAGAATGTTCTTGATTTTGGAAAAACATGTAATGATTTTTGCTAGATCCAGTTGCTGTTATAAATAGCAATACCTTATTGCTTTCTGTCAGCTAACAATTAGCTAACTTACAATGATTTTGACAGCAGTAAGTATGCTTTCTCACTTCCTTAAAAGAAGTGTAGAAAGTGACTCTGAGCTTGTGTATAACTTGTGTATAACTCTTACTCAAGCAACAAGTTTTTTAAAGGGTTTGGGAAGGATGCAATATTTTTTTATAGCCTGAAGTGGCATATCTCATACTGTTTTGTGAGTGGCTGAAGAGTAGAGGCCTTAGATGTCAATCTTTGAGTATGATTCTCATCAGGTATTCATCAGTTTTACAGCTCAGTAGTGTCAATAATGATTGTGACGTTAGTCCTTATTTGTACTGATGTAAGTAAAGGGAAAATCATAAAGAATTTATAATCTGAGCCATAGAGCCTGTGCTGGTTTTTCTTCTTTCTGTATTTCCTTGAAATGACACCTTACTTCTGTAGAGCTCTGACAGCGGAACCTTGTACTATATGACAACTGCAATGGGTGCACAGAGCTCTGGGCCTCTCTGCAACAGCTGTGTAATAAATCTCTGAATTATGTTAAACATACAGTAGTATCTTTCCATAGTAAAGCCTCCGTCACTGTAAAACCACAAGCATCATGTACTGAGTCAAGATTAGAGCACTGTAACTACAACAGAAGTCTGCTTGTCCAAATTTATAATTCCAAATGGTACTGCCAGCCATGTTACTGGTAGCCATTTTCTTTGACTTGCTCATTTTTCTTCATGTATTGAGTTGGTTATGTGGTCTTTAGAATGTATATGGCTTCTATTGTTTCTGCACAAGATTCTCATGTAATAGTCTTTGTTGGCATTATCCCTGGATTTCCAAATATTCTTTGCCACAGTTCTTGAACATTAACTATCATTTTATCTTAAACCCTAGGTTTAATTATTGATGCTTTTGGTGAGTTAAGAGATCAGCAAGAGCAAGTTAAGGAAGACATGGAGGTAAGAACATCCAGTTAATGAACCATAGCCTATTTTCCGGTTTTCAGTCAAAACGCAATCTAACTAGTTTTTTAAACAAAGAGGAAAGTATAGTTCTGTACATGGTCCAATATCATACAATGTCCCAGATGAGATTCTAGTCTCACATCTCAGTTCATTAGATGGAAATAATAACTGACATGGTTTTGTAATTGACTTTTTGTATCTGTTAAAATATAAGGACTCATGTAATTAGTTCTGTTAGTACCCAATAAAATTCTTTTCAGACAGTTTTATGAAGAAAACATCCAGGTTCTGAATAGCATTGACAACTCTTTGAAGACTCTTGTGAAAGGGGTATGCTATGCTTTGACAGGTGCTAGCTGCTACCTTGCACGTCTCCTTGCAAGGGACACAAGCCCAGGTTGTCTAAACTGATATCCTGTGTATTTTGGATTTTTTTGCCAGTTCCTAGATATTTTTCCAGATTTTTTTAATACCTCCAGATCAAGTGTGGTCAGTTTTTTGCTGTCAGTGACAGCAAAAATTCAGGTGAAAAGTCTTAGATCTTATTTTCTCAAGTCTTTTTAAAGTTTAGACTAATCTCTGTCTTCATTTATGGAAAGAAGAAAAATCTTTGTACATTGGTGTATATTATTATGAATTACACCTCTGTGGCTATTTCAAACTACAGGTTTCTAACACAGGATGTTGACACTGTCATGTTACACAATCTCAGGTGTATTTTTTCTTTGGTTAATCTATGTGAGAAAGTAAGCCATACTTGGCAGTTTTCTATTCTGTTTTATAAGTATGACAATAAGAAATCAGAAAAGTGTTGCAAACCTGCTGTGTTTTGTAATCTAAGCTTTGAGCATATTCAATTTCAGCTGGACAAATACAACAGGCATCAAGGTAAATATTGCCGTACATTACAGTGAGTGCTACTTGCAGAGTTAAAGGAAAATAAAATAAAAATCATCTTTGACTGTTGTATGCCATTCTTTCTCCTTGTTCACTTATGGTTGGCAAAGATTTTTTATTTTTTTTTTTAAACAGTAAGAAGGTATTCTGGTGGCAGTTAAACTGCTATTCAAGTGTTTTGTCTGAGCTATCCAGTCCCAATCATTAAAAGAAAAGCCCTTTTGTTCAGCACAAAACATGATATATGAAGTACAGGATGACCTGTCATTTTAAAGAAAATTTTTATATTTTTATTGGTCTTTTCTCACAGAGGACAGGGTTATATATAGAATTAAAGTGCTCTGTATTCTTTCTTCTAGACAAAGTGCTTTATTTGTGGAATAGGAAATGACTACTTTGATACAGTGCCCCATGGCTTTGAAACACACACTCTACAGGAGCACAACTTGGCCAATTATTTGTGAGTACAGCAAAAATTAACTCCTTAACATGACCCTTGCAGCCTCTGCAAATACCAGATTAGCTCTCTTACATAAGGAAGGTTCAGTACTATTTGGATCTGATATGCACTCATGCTGTCTGAATATATAATTCTGTGGCAAGGAATGCAAGGAATGAACAATATTTTCTTGTTTCCAGCTTGGTTTTGACACACCAAGTTTGTGTGAGAGTTGGAAACTGGAAACTTAGTATGTGGCTGTGGAGCTGTAAAATTGAAAGTGTTGCATAAGGTACAGAGGAACACTATGAACTGGGCCTGGAGACTGGTGGAGACAGTGCACAAGCAAAGGAGTAAGACAAAAGAGGGAAAACTTACTTTGGACAAAATATTTTGAGTGCAGTGTTGAGGCTGACTAAGAGAAACTGGGACAAAGGAGGGTAGGGGAACTGGAATGAGGAGTTGGACAGGGGAGGGATCACTCCAGGGGCATCAGGTCCACCAAGACTAAACTTGGTATTTTTAAATCTAGAAATAAAATAATTTATCAATCAAGTCCACAGTCACTGTATCATACTGTTTCTCTCCTGTCAAATACATATGAAAATCCAGTGCCAAAGTGCTCTTAGTATAAAGCAATGGATGGATTGTGACCGTGTCTATAAACTAACATTGCAGGTACACAAAATATTGAGACTAAAGAACTTCTACATGAAAAACAGGTTGCGCAAAGAAAATACATTAAAAGAACCATTGTGTACGATTTTGTTTCTACAAAGAATAACAGACAATAGCATACTTATTCTAAGTGCGTCATCCTAAAGAAATATTTTTTAATATTTTTGTGCATTATCATGTTTTATATGTAAAAACATACATATGTAAAAACATATGTTTGGAGAGAATGTCTATTATGAGTGCAATTTTCAAAACATTGCCTAGTGTCTGTCAGATATCTCAAAACTCCATGACTACTGTGTTTTTAAAATTAGAATTTCTCTTTATGCATGTTGATCTTGGATTACATAAACCAGTAAAATATCACCAACGTATAATTTCAATAAGAGAAATCTCTTAATTGTCTTCAGCATTTCTTATTCATTGTGAGGAGAGGAAAAAAGAAAAAGTTCCAATGGCTGTTCTCTGTCTACTTCCATGTTGGTGTTCACATGCAAAGAAGTCTATTAGATTTTTCAGATTAGGAAGCTTAGAGAATCTCATTTAAACTGAGTTGCTATTTACTGTGAGTCAAACTCTTGCATTTTAGCATAGTATGACTGGATGTCTACGCTGTCAGGAAAGTATATTTCATGTGTCTGGGAATATTATCATAAATAGAACTCTGAAACTTGTAAGTCCATGACAGCATTATCACTCACAGTACATGCTGAAAAATATCCATCCCTCTGTGGGTTGCCTGATGTTTCAAAATATTGCATTCATAGTATCTGTTTCTTTGCTTGTAGGTTTTTTCTGATGTATCTTATTAACAAAGATGAAACGGAGCATACAGGACAGGTATGTTGAACAACACTATGAATGAAAATATTTATTAAAAAAGACTGATCCTAAAATAAAAATCATTCAGGCTTGGCAAAACTACGTTCCCTATATGGTATGAAAGTTAATTCTCATTTTTCTCAACAATTCTTAGAAATTAGTGTGCTTGTTAGGTTGTGTACCAGTTCTCTAGTACTTCCTATTCCTATTTTGTTATCTGACCTGTCATTCTTAAATTATTACTTTATACACAATATAAATACAGACTATAAAAAAAAGGGAAACAGAACATTTAAGCACCTTGTGAAAGCAGAAGTATTCATTTCTCCCTGTTGATTCTTTTTTAATAGTCTTTGTCCTTTATTATTATCTATATATAATCTTTTGTGTCTACATTCCTGGATAAGTCCATATGAAACACCATGTGCATGTATGTAAAATTAAATCTGTGACAAAAGTTTTTCTTGAAGGTTTCTTCTTTGCTGCTGTTCTTTCAAACTTCTGGTGCATCTGTAAACTTCCTTTAACTATACCTAAAGTCAGTAAAAGAATGTCTTACATTTACACACTACTTTTTTCTAGTAAAAAGCTTGCAGCTGCCTAAGAAAATGTTCCCAAGTTGCAGATCAGAAAACAAAAAACCTGAATATCATCAAATGCATAGCCCTACAGCTTTGAGTCAGAGGGATTATTTGCTATAAATCTATGTAGCTTACTCTTTCTGAATTCTAATGTATGTACTGGGCAATTTTAATCACCACCTTATTTGCATAAATGTTCTCAGCCTTGTCCAGGATCAGTTTTTATCTATTTGCTTTGCTACATTTTAGTAGCCATTTGTCATTTGAGATTTTTTTTTTTAAAAGTTGTTTTTATTTGTGTTTTCTTTTCTTGTTGTGTCCTACTGTATTTACTGAACCAGATTTCTACTACCCAGTCAGTTTTGATCTGATAAGTTGAAAATTGAGACTACTTTGTACTATGTTACTTCTAGGGACACAGTTTAGTGGTGGACTTGGCAGTGTTAGGTTTACAGTTGGACTTGATCTTACTATGACTCTATAACTTGTGTAACACATGCCCTTTTTACCATGGAATTTGTGTAATAAAAAGCACATTTAAGTGGTGTGATTAAAATAGAAGTAAATTGACATACTGCCTAGAAACATAGCCTTACCTGACCAAATAATCAGAAAGAAAAAACCAACCCACTGATTCAGAAAATAGTTTTCTTCTAAGAAATAATTTTAAAGGCCATTCTGGTTTATGTATTGTGTGTAAGCATATTTTGAAATGACTGATCAAGAAATTCAGTCAAATTTCTATGACAGAAACTATTCTGCTTACCCTGGTATTTGTCTTGTGGCCAGCTTTAATTGAGCTTTATGGTGCTTCTGGATGTGCAATAACTAAATAAACTTTTCCTCTTCTATGTGTTTCTCTAGTGCTTTTTGACTATGTGACCAAATATCTAAAAGCTACTCTAAACTGATTAGAATCATTAACATGATTTTGCGGATTGCTATACAACCTGATATAAACAGAATTGAAAAAGCAAAGCAGTATATACATTAAAGCGGGAGTCATGGTTGGTGCTTTCTTATTGAATCAAATTACATTTTTTTAAATTGTGTTTCTTTCAGGAATCCTATGTATGGAAAATGTATCAAGAACGATGCTGGGAGTTTTTCCCTGCTGGTGATTGCTTCCGAAAACAATACGAAGACCAGCTCAACTAAGAAGAGATGAGGATTTACAGATGAAAATATGTCCCAACTCTTTTGGGAATGTCTAAAATCCCCAAAGTTGTGTGCTTTTTGGAGCACCAAAGCTGTGTTTTTAATGACCCAACTGTGCTTTTATTCTCTTGTGTATTTGCTTTAAGAACACTGGAGTAAAGAAAAATTAAAAATAACAGCAACTCTGGAAAAATGCCAACCATTTGCACACACAAAAGATATCCCTACACATAACATGCACACATAAGAAGAGACTTGTGACAGCTTATTTCTGAAACTGCCAGATGATACCCTTGATCACACACAGGGTGACATAGTAGCAACACTCATTCAATCTGTTTATTTCGTCATCCTGGAAGGAACTATGTGTAGTTCGCAGAGCACTGTAAAGGATTGTTGTGGACACTAAGTTGTGGGGAAATAGTGCCTTACTATATGTGGGTTGAGCTATGCAGAAGATGAGTGCATGATGACATCAGCTTTTTTATGTCCTCCCTTTCTTCCAAGTTAATTTTTTTGTGCTTTTAGTGGGTTTGGGAGAAAGGGATTTGATTGTGCACATCTTTTTAATGACTGGAGTGTCTCAGGACAAGCTTAGGTTATTCTCATCCAGTTGATTTCACATTTACCTTCCTCTTTATCTTTTGCTCTTATTTTGGTAATGCTCTGATACAACACTGCACCTTTATGAAATCTTTGTATGAAAACAAGATGACTGCAAAAAACACTTTAACAAGAACTGTTTCATTGCATGTTTATTATGCAAGTTTAAAACAATCAAAAAGCAACCTTCAGAAGCAAGATGATCAACATGAAAAAACAGTCACAATAATTATATCCATAGTAATAAAGTGTTGTGGGCTTTATTGTACATCTGGAACAACTGTCATCAGCCAACAATGTATATGTTAGGAATTTAACAGTAGAATTGGTTTCTTTTCTTTTTCTTTCTTTCATTTATGCCACCTGTGATTGATAGTGGAGTTGAAGATTTTCTTGTTAAATTATTTTTTAAAAGCAAAGCTGAAGCAATATCCATTCAGGGACTCCATCAGTTGCATCATGAAACACTAATGATGTGTACATCACTGCATTTTGAGTACTTTTCAATTGTAATGCCATTCTTTACAAATAAAAAGAGAGATTCAGAATGGAAAAAAGATGGTTTTGGTAGCATCTGAGCTCTTTGTTATGGAGTCTTTTTATTAATACCTTAATTAATTATGCCAGCTTCAAAATAGAATTAAGCTGCTGTTTTCTTAACAAATGTTTTGGGTTATGACTTCTCTCCTAGAATTCTTGCTGTTCCAGTGCTCCACTTCATTACTTTACAGGCCACACTTTTGTCATAAAATAAACTGGCTGTATGAATATTTGGCTATAACTAAGAAAAAAATCCTTAAAAAAACCTAACTCTGAATTCTTAAAAGCCAGGCTTTCAGTTCAGTAGATTATGAATATTGCTTTTCTGAAACTGGGCTCCTTAGGAGGATAATGGTAAAATTCTCTCAAATTCTAAAATACTTGTGGCCAGAGGCTGGGCAGGCAAGTGATGGTGGGAGAGACAGGTACAGAAGCAACAATTTGCATTCAGGTTTCAACCACTTTCACCCCATTAGCAGAACTGAGTCCAGCTTTTTTCCTTTTTTCCTCCCTGTTTGGCACAACTCCGTATAGCACTTTCATCTTTTTTCATCACAATCATCTTTTCTAGGATTTGCGTATTTAGAGAAGGGGCAATTGCAGGAGAATGTTTTTCTGACAGGCCCATGCACTATATTGGTTTTGCACATTTTTTTTTACAAAGGTATAGATAATTATTCTGATTGATATTTCAAGATGCCTTTGTCCTGAAAACAAATTCAAATGGACTTTGTAGGCAAATACCAGAATAAAAGTATGATTTTTTTAACCTCAACTCCCATGCCAAAAAGCTTCTCGGGCATCCTTGCTGTTGAATCCAAGTATGATTTTTAACAAATATATACCTAAAGCCACACTTAAACACTAGCATCTTTCAGGATGAGATCTACATACAATCATATGCTTTTTAAGTATGCAAAAATCTTCATGTATTAAATTAATTGTAGCTTTCAGAGAGGCAAATTTCTACAGCTAAGAACTGGTTCATGAGGCTTTGCAAGATTAAGAATTCACTGCTGAAAAAAGTATTAAAACCTGTAATTTTCAGGAGGAATTCCTGCCCTTTATTGAAGATAGCAGAAAAGTTATTGTTGCTTTTTAACTCTGAATGCCCAGAGAATTGAGGAGAGCTCTAAAACTGAAGGTCCTAGTGCACAAATGTTGATTTCGGCAAAGAAACAAAGGCATGAATGGCAATAGAGACACTAATTAAATGGAAGAGTAGCTGAGGTGTGAATCATTTGTGAAAGTTTTATATACTGTTCAACTTAAAATTGAGTTGCCTGACATTTGTTAAACTGTCTTCCAAAGATCTGCTTTTGCATCTTTCTTTTCCCTAAAAGTTTAAAGCCTAAGTCTGAGACAATCACAGAAAATTAAAGAAACAGGTGCTCTAATATCCTTTGCCCATGCATTACTACAAGACTACTCCCTTCATCTTGGCCACTAACGTGCTTGATTTGTTGAATATTTAATTTGTAGTATCTTCCAACAGCTACAGGACACTTACTAATGAATAATAGCATTACGCTTATGATTTGCCTTAATGTTTCTTTCTGTAATTCATTTGATAACATTCCTACCACCTTCGGAGGCACTGAAAAATTCCCTTTGCTTCTTTGCTTAAAAAATCACCTGTAAAGCATTCACAGGATGTACTATTATTTTCCACAGAATAGTGTGTATTAATTTTTTTGTTCATTAGCCAGAACAGACTCTTGTCAAAGGGTAAGATTTCTGTCACAGAGAGCATGGCTTGTTATTTTCTTTGATTAAATCTGTCTAATAATTATGCTTGCAAGTGTAGCTCCTTCAATCTCCCTTCTTAAGTCATAACTGCTTTTATTTGTGTATTTATTTGCATCTTTTTTCAGTTTTCTTCAGCTTTTCTAAAGCCATGCTAAACCATATAGGCTTGGTGGCAAATAGAATTTCAAATTATATCATACTACAGTAACTTCTTAAGAATTGCAAGACATTTAAGAACAAATATAGGAGAGGGTTTTTTGCAGCTACCTCATTTCTGGTTTTGTTGTTTTTTTTTTAAGGCCCTTTTTATATTTTCTGAATTAGGGGGTTTTTTTTCTGCAGTCTGCATATTTACTAACTGTACAAAAGCAAAATCTGCTATCATCTAGTTTTCTTCATAATTATGCGGGGTTTGGATATAAATTTAGGCAAAAGGATGTGTCTTTTTTAGGTAGCAAAGAAGATCCTTTGAGCCAGTTGTTGAATATCTCTGGCAGAGAAACAGCATAATTTTGCCTTCCCAATCAAAATTTGAAGCAAATTTTGATATACGCTTGCTTTTGTAATATCTCAGGCAGGGGCTGATCTGCAGTTACAAAGGTTTCATGTATGTATTTCAGTGCTGGATGGGAATTTCTGGGCTAACATTCTCTTGGGAAAAGTTTTGAAATATCTGAAATGTAGGGTGAAAGCTCAAAAATGCACAGTTAAAACAAACTGCAGGACTTCACTATCTTTTAATTTACACATTTGTAAATGCTACAAGTTTGCAAGTTGCAAACAAGTTGCTCTGTTGGTTGGTAGAAATTGCTATTATATAGACTAAATGTCCTTATTTAGCATAAATCTGAGAAAGATATTTGGGACACTGAAAGGTAGCTAAATAATGGTGGGTCATGCAATTTGAGATTTGAAATATATCAAGATTTGTTTAATTTTTTAAGTAGTGCTAGTAGGATAGAAGGAAACTGCATGAATGTACTGAGAAAAACAGAACTACACAGGAAAAATTAGGGCATTGAAAGTCCATGTACTAAAAGAAAAAAGACTAAAAAAAGAAGAAATAAAGAATATGAAAGAAAGCTTTTCTAAAAATAGCTTTATAAGTGTAAATGGTTTAAAACCAGAACTTTTATTAAGCAGGGCTTTTTATCTTTAAGAAGGTACAGATTAATTTTTAATATTTTTGTAATCTATTTCATTTTTTTTTGTGCTACAATCAATATTCACTTAGCATATGAGACTTACAAAATATGCTCACTTTTAATCTTTGAAAACATGAGCATTTCTGCAGCATGGTGCATTTGCATTTCAGGTGAAGATGCATGGTTTAGCTCTTTCTCCATGTCTCGTCTTTGAAGGAAAAATACCATGCATTCATGTGAAAACCCTGCATTCACGAGAAAAAGAAACACCTGACTAGCGGTAGGGTATTTTCTCCTTCCTGTTCAGCTTTTGAGATATGTTAGAAGAAAGTTTAAGAATGCTTTACAAGAATTCATTTAAAACTATGTATTGGCCATAAACGCAGATCTGTCACAATCCATTTTCTCTCAGAAACTGTTATGTTAAAAACTTGTGAATACTGCAGTGTTTTCTTGAGTAAAACATGGTAGCAACTGTTAGGATTGAGCAAAGTATGAGAGTTTTTTCACTTTAGTATTGGTATACGTACAGTCGGTATGCCTGAAAGATTTCTAAAGAAAAGGCAGAAACTTGAAGGTCATTTGAAATTATTAGGAAAAAGTTCAGAAATGGTTTGTAACAAAATGTGTATAATTTGATTTTTGGGTGTATAAAAAATCTTACTATGATAAAGTAGCTAGAGAAGTTAGGTAATATCCAGGAATATCAAACTCCTTAAGGAGTTCCCAGTAAGTAGACACACTGTATCCTAGGAAGATATTATTGGGGTTTTGGCTTCCTGCAGCTGGTTCCTGGAAAAATAAAATAGAAGGCTTGACATTTTTGCTTGCAAAGACTACAAGTGAATAAAACATTGTATGAGTGAAATTAAAGAAGTAAAGGATCACAAACAGTTGTTATATTTCTTTGGAGAAAAATAAATTACTGTAATATTGAAGAAATGGTTATTTTTAGCTTTGAGCCATAGCGTCCCATTCATGCAGATCAGAAGGAAGGAAGAAGAATAGATGACATAATGCATCCAGTCCTGAAGTAGTTCCCTTCCCTGTCTACCTTGACAAAAGACCATCTGTGCTTTCTCACTTGCTTTTACAGCTCTGCCCTCTGGTGGGAGGAAAGCATGCTGCTAGGAGTGCTGATCCACAGAAACTTACAGACAAATCCTCATAAGAAAAAATTAAAGTTAAATTAATTAGGCAGCGTCTCTGTGCTGACAAGGCACAACTGGTCTATCCTGATACAAGGAATTAAGTATATCAACTGGCTAGGAAATTAGTGTGACTGGACCATTGCCCTCAGCGAAATAAATGGCCAGGAGAGAGCAAAAAAAATTATTTTGAAAGAAGTAACATTTTTTCCTGTTACTTGCACAAGGAGAAATTTGTATAAAGGGAAGGTTTAGGGAAGTCTCAAACATATGTATTCTGACTGTGGTTACCCGGCAGTTGAAACAAACCTACCTGTGCAAGGTCTTTGTGACATGTCTGCAGAAAAAGGGCAATACTAGCATAAATGCAAATTAGAGACAATGATTATTGTAATGGGAAAGGAGCCTGTTTGATGTATATAATTGCCATTAGATAATCAAATATTTCTATTATATGGTGAAAATATACAGTACATTTTAAATGAATTTAAAAATCAACATAGAAAAAAATTGAAAAAATTTGCAATTAACCTCTAGTGCTGATATTATGCTAATATATTGCAGACTGCTACAACCTCTGATATGACATCATCAAGCTGGTCTACTATGGAAGCAAAAAAAATTTAGAATAAAAATGGGAATGAATTTCTTGTAGAAACTACTTACTGTGTAAATGAAACACTCAAACACTCATTTTCGTATGAGTACACTTTAAAACAAACTGTTAGAGCACAAAAAGTGAATGCATTGCTAAGGAAAAGAATCTTTTAATTTCTAAAATTCCTACTGAGAGTACTTTACTCATAAATATGTCTACTTTTCTCCAAAGACACTAGC